TTACTCTTGCCTTTACTTCTCCTTCATCACATCTATTCACGATTCAAAGACTTTCCTTTCCCCTCTCAAGATAAGAGTTATGCAATTTGGGAGTCTTTTAGATAGACCCACTGAAGGGGTACTCCAATTGCCTCACCCTGCGTCCCTGTTCAGCATGGAAGAAGCCAGAGCGGTCTGCATCCTGATTCCCTATTGGCAATTTGGGTAACCTCTTCAGAGGATGGTGTGATAAGAATTGGAGGTAGGAATTGGCTAGGCAGTTAGGGTAAAAAGATCTGAAAGAAAAGTAGCCAGTTTCTTGGCTAAAAGTCACAATGTTCTTGGGCCTCTTAGCAACATACTCCATTCCAAAGGCCAAAAATGTTGAAACTATTTGGGAGTTTTTATCTAATTCTTAAAAGATTTTAGGGTTACCTCTTCAGAGGGGGGAATGTTAGAGTAGCAAATGTTAGTAGTGACAAAGTATATTTTTCTCAGAGAACTGTACTACATCTTTTGTACTTCATACTACAAACGAGGTAGTACCATCATTCTTAAGCCAAAAAAAGAAAGTGCTTATATTTTACAGTTCTTCTTCAGAATCTACAGGTACAGTGTTTTCATCTCTTACATACTTGAAGCAAATAAAGATTTTACTCATTAGCTTCTCTTTCATCTCATCAATAGAAATCTTATGTTCTTCAAATAATGATTTAAACTGTTTAACTCTGGAAATAATCATAGTCTCATAGGAAAAGCTGCAAAAACAGTACAAAGATGACTTAGGTAACTCACTGCCCAGCCTTCCCTTACAGTAACATGTTCTGTAACAAGAGTCCTTCACCAGAATCAATAAATCAATTGGCACAAAATAGCCCTTACAGGATTTATATAGCTATCTTCGAATAAGTTTAATTCACACATTAAATTTTTTGAATGACCATGATGGAGGAACTGATTATTTCACATGAATTTTTCTGTCTGAAATGTTCATTCTTAAATAGGCTCTAGAGCTTCTCACACATACAGGTCAGTGACATACACTGAACTATAAATTTATCCATATTACACAAGGAAATGCCTTGTACTCTCTAAATAGCACTACTACGTATTTTACTGAAAGGGCAACAACACTGTGTTTATAAACTTTTAATTCTGGAATTTCTTTAGCAGTATTTTAAATTTTCTTTAGGCTGAGTTATTAGAAAACATACATTTTCTTATAAGTAGGTTTACCATCTGGGAATTAAATTTTTCCCTTAAGAATACAATTTAGTTCACATTTCATCATAATAAAGAAATAAATCACTAGTAATGTTATATAACATTTGCAAATCCATATGCATGTAATAAGACAACTACAAAATATATTTTTAAAAAACCGTGTTAGAGCTTAAATTGGAAATAGACAACTCTGCTATTATTGAGAATTTAACACATCTCCTTCAATTGCTATAAAGAGACAAACATCAGTGACGAAAGATAATTCAGAAAAGAGAAAATATTTGCAAATCATGCATCTAATAATAGAATTACTTAAAAATATACATAGAATTCCAATAACTCCATACTAAGTAGCCAAAGTAAACTGGACAGACAGATATTGTTTAAAGATAGACAAATGCCAACAAACATGAAGAGGTACAACATTTTGGTGGCTGGGAGTTATCACACCCTTATCCACAGCTGGTTGAGTTGTAACATGGTATACTGCTTTGGAAAACAGTCAGTTCTGCAATACCACTCATAGAGTATCACAGAAGCTCGCCTTCTATTCCTAGGTATGTACTCAAGAGAACAGAAGACATTGTTACGTCCACATAAAATTTGTACGTAGGGTTCAGAGCAGCATTATTCATACTAGCCTCAAAGTAGAAACAACCCAAATGTCCATCAGTTCATGAATGGATTAAAAACTATGAAATGCCTATGCATTTTTTTCCGTACCATGGAACATGATTCACTCATAAAAAGCAATGGCATACTGATATATGCTACTATAAAAACCTTGAAAATATTATGCTAAATGAAATAAGCCAGTCACAAAAGACTACATGGCATATAATTCCATTTATATCAAATTCCCAAAATAGGCGAATCTCTGAAGACAAGGACTTAGATTACTACCTAATCTGGACAGGAGGTAGGAAATAGGAAATTTTTGTTAACAGGTACAAGGGAAAGCTTCTATATGGCTTAAAATGTTCTTCAACCAAATAGTGGCAATGGTTGAAAAAATATGCATATACTGAAAGTCACTGTATTACACACTTTAGGTAGTCATTTATGATATGTGAATTACATATAAATAAAGTTGCTTTAAAAATTATATTTTATAGTGGTAGCAGTTAGGTAATTATCACTCTTTGTGAGAGGTAGTAAATGGAACAGTTTGAGTGGTAATAATACTCTGATTCAAGTTATATGAGTTCATTCACTCTATAAAAATCCACGGAACTGTACCACTTTTCTTCACTCATGCGGGCGTGCCAGGTATCTCACTATGTATCCCAGGCTGGCTTCAATTTTGTGGTGATCCTCCTGCCTCAGCCTCTTAAGGGCTGGGATTATAGAAATGTACCACTAGACCAAACTCATAAAGGTTTGTTTTTAAAATCTATAAACAAACAAAGAGGCAAGTTTCACATACCAACAGGTGGGCCTGCTGGCACTATACATTTCTTTTCAACTCGTGCTGCAGGAGGTGCATTTTGATTCTTCACAAGATTTTCCTGTATCAATTCTTGAACTCGGGCTTCATTAATCTTTGGGAAAGGAAGAATATGAACTCTCAAGTGGGATCCTTCTGTTGGGCGTGGAACTTTCTGGAATGCCATATGAGGGTTTGGATTCTCCTGCAACATCATAAACAGGTAAAATCATCCAAAGGTTAATATAACAACGGAAAATAGTCAGAAAGGGCATGGGAGCTCTTAGGGGCACTGCAATCAGACAGTAGAGTGATTATACACTCACACACACGCCACAGTGTGCAGAACAACAGCATCATATTTCTTCCATGGTCTTTCTGCAGCATTTGAGACAGCTGGTCTTCCTCTTCTATGAACACTTCATCCACTTGACTTTTAGGTCTTGTTGCTATAGTTTTACTTCTCACCCCTCTAATCTCTTAATTATACAAGGACCATAATACTCAATCTTTGGGCCTCTACCCTATCAACACTTAAATCTCTTGGAGATCATTTCCAGTTCCTAGCTGTTAACCATAAAAACACCAATGATTCAAATTTATCTCTGAGCTTTCTTCCAATCCTATATTCATCTATTTAGATATCTACACAGAATGTTTCCACTTCAGTTTAAAATACCAATTCAACTTAGGTCTACAATGGAGCCCACCTAGAAACCCATTTTCTACAGCTTCCTACTGCAATGATTGCCATGTTTATTTTTTCTAATCATTCCTGTGAAAACACTGGTCATCTTTAAACCTTTTCTCTGACATCCAGTTATTAATTTTTCTGCCAACATTGTGGACTTTACCTTTAACAGAATATGTTTATAACCTGACTACTTCTCACCTTTGTTGAATCCAATACCTTTCATAGTGCCCAGAGTCTCCTAAATGGCCTCCGACTCTACCTTAGTCATTAAAGCATAACAGATCATCACATAACCTTGTTCATTCAAATGGTTCTCTATCAGAATAAAACCCAAAGTTCTTATTTACAAGACTATAGATCTAGTTTTTTATGAAGTATGTCATATATCCATCCTGGTTAAGGCATGTGCAGGTCTTCCTGTTTCTGCCTCAAGGCTTTTGCACACAACTTGATCTGGAACGCCTCCACATCCCGTCTGAATTTGAATTTCTTAAGCCATTTTTTTCTGGCCACCTTACCTAAAATTATATTCTCCTGTAATAAACCCTTATCTCCCTTACTATTTTTCCACATAATATTAATTTTATTTATTGTCTAACTTTGTCTCACTAAAATAAAGCACCACAAAGCAGATGCTTCATTCCGTCAACTTTTAAAGGTTTTAAATTTTTTTTCTAATTAAAAGAAAAACTTTTATTTTTTTGTGTGTATGCATGTGTGTATCTGTACACAAGTGTACAGTGCCAGTGGAGGCCAAAAAAGGGCACTGGATCACCCTGAGCTAGAGTTATAACAACTGGTTGTGAGCAGCCCGATAATGGGAGCTGGGACTGAACTTGGATTCTCTCCAAGAGCAGTAAGTGCTCCTAATGGCCACACCATCTCTCTAGCCCAATTTTCAAAAGTTTTGTTTGTTATTTGTGTGTCCTATGCTGTATACCTGTTGTAAAACAAAACAAAAAAACCTGCTAGCCATGCAGTGGGCACTCTTGAACTACTTCCTCCTGCACTGTAATGTGTAGGACACACACCAAACGTGTAATAATAATTATTTTCATGTTTGGGTGCAGGAAATTGAACCCAGGACTTTCTGTATGCTACCACTGAGTTACACCCCTAACACTATCAGCTAATATTTTAAAAATAATCTTAGAACTGGCATGAATTTTTATCTGGCACCTAGTTAATTAAACAGGATTGTATTTCAAATACTAGGCAGAGTGGAATTCATGTGTTCTATAAAGTTCTCTTGGGAAGGCCACTTTTCAACCATTCTTAAACTAATTCTAGCATTTATTATCCTTTTGCCACCAAAACATTCCTCATTTCCACTGAACCTATGCTATTCATAGTATAGACTAAACTCACTAGTATCCTGTAACATGCTCTTGTCAGTTAATAATGGCCAACTGTCATCATTCATTAGAACTGCTCCTTACAATTCTTTCTGGTTATGTGCCCAGACCCAGAAAAGAAAAGTGTAGGTCAGGGCAGGGGATACAGTTAGCATTTGTTAGCCAAACAAGAGAAGTGTCAAAAAGCCTAGGTTCAGTTCTTGTTCTACTCAAAATACAATGTTGCACAAATGACTTTATCTAAGAGATATACTCAGGCTTACCTTATAAGGTTCCTGAGAATACAAAACAAAAGGTTCCAGGTATGCTTTAAAAAGTTTTAAATTCTGGGGCTGGAGAAATGGCTCACTGACTGCTCTTGCAGAGGACCTGGTTTTGATTCCCAGCACCCACATGGAGATGGCTCACTGACTGCTCTTGCAGAGGACCTGGTTGATTCCCAGCACCCACATGGCGGCTACGAACTGTCCTTAACTCCAGTTCCAGGAGAATCCGAAGCCCTCTTCTGACTTCTGTGGCATTGCATGACATGGGTGCACTCACACATATGCAGGCAATACACTCGTACACATAAAAAGTAAAAATAATAAATAAAAAATATTTTTAAAAAGTTCTAAAATTCTGCCTGGGATCAGCACAAACATCTCTGGTCTGTAGTATTTGTAACTGCTTTTTTCAAAAAGTGTATTTACTTGTTCTTTTTTTGGTCTTTTTTGAGACAGGGTCTCCCTGTAGCCCCAGCTGTCCTGGAATTCACTATGTAGACCAGGCTGGCCTTGAACTCACAGAGATCCGCCTGCCTCTGTGGGATTAAAGGCGTTCGCCTCCACACCTGACCTTTATTTGTTCTTTTTTAATTTTTAACTATTTGATCTATTTTCATTTTATGTGTATGAGTGTTTTAACTGATATGCATGCAAGTTTACAACGTGTGTTCAATGCCCGTAGAGGTCAGGAGAGGGTGTTAGATCCCCTGAAACAGGAGTCACAGACAGTTGTTAGCTATCATGTGGGTACTGGAAACCAAACCTGGGTCCTCTTCGGTCAGTACGCTCAATCAGTGAGCCATTTCTCTAGTCCCATTGCCTTATTCTTTATGCATGATTTCTATTCTTGAAATTTATAATCATCAATTCTCTGAAACATCTTGGGAATATCTTTTTCCAAGCTGGAAAGGTAATTCATATGGGCCTTGAATCTGGAATCATTTGAAGTACGTTTACTACTTCTGTTTCTACTTTTGCTTTTTTTTTTTTTGTAGTAATAATTAAAAACAAAACTCTGCACTGTATTTCACATGAAATAATCATGATAAATCTTTAAAATTGGGGCTGGAGAGATGGCTCAGAGGTTAAGAGCACTGGCTATTCTTGCAGAGGACACAAATTCTGTTCCTAGCACCCACAAAGTGGCTAACAACCATCTGTAACTCCAGTTCCGGGGGATCTGACATCTTCTTCTGACCTCTGTGGGGATTGTGTAACACAGGTGCACTTACAGACATGAAGGCAATACACTCATACACATAAAATAAAAATAAATATTTTTCTAAAATATTAATAAAGTAGAAACTTTCATGATAATGGAAGTATCTCTGAATTGTATTTTATTTTTCTTAGCATCTCTTATCTGTTCTAACAGTAACTTATGGTAGTTTGGAAAAATAAGGATACATATATTACTTCTAGTCCTAAACTTTATAGGAAAGAGCAAAGAGCCATAAATAGTCAATGAAATTCAAAAGCACATTATGGCTTGGATCTTAAATGTCTCTCAGTGGCTCACATGCTAATTATGGTTAATCAGTAGCCACAGGTACTATCTGGAGTGCTAATTAGGAGGTAGGACTCAGGAGAAAGAAGTTAGGTCTCTGCATATGTGCACTTGATAGGCATACTGGCACACTGGCCCCTTCCTCCCTCTGCTTCCTTGCTGCAGTGGGATGAGCAGCCTTTCCCACCATGCATGCTGTCATGATGAACTATGCCACCACAACCATGCACTCAAAAATAACCCTCTGAAGCATGGAACCAAAATAAATCTTTCCTCTGTGCAAGTTGTCTCAGGTATTTTGTCCCAATAAAAGAGATCTGACTAATCCAAAGAGAAAATGGAAGAGTAAAGGTTTCCAGACACATCAAGGCTTGATAAACCTTAAAAAATGAAAGTATGACAACTGGTATTAGTGAAGGGTTAAAGGGAAATTACACAGGGAATCCAGAAACAAGAGTAGATGTGAAGCTCTAATACCAGGTGACATTACAACTCGGGGAAAGTCTGGTTGATTCTCTGAGAGTAGTAGTATGTCAAAGTACTTTTATTTCATGCTTTCTGATTTCAGATTGTCTTGGGGTTCAAAAACTGCTTGGTCACTTTACCAATAGTGTGATCTGATACAGTGACAATCCTCTTGTGTTTTAGTGTCTTCATTTGTACTGATGATAAAAGTACCTACATCATAAGGGTCTTGTGAAGACTGTGACAAGATGTTATAGCAAAGTTCTAATAACACGAACATACACCTACTACACACATCTCCCAATAATCAACCTAAATATTTATTCATGGGCCTGCAGAGATGGCTCAGCAGTAAGAGCACTGGCTGCTCTTGCAGAAGACATGGGTTCAATTTCCAGCACCCACATAGCAGCTAACAACTGTCCTTAACTCCAGTTACAGGGGATCTGATGCCTTCTTTGGACCTCTGTGGGCAGTGCATGACAGTAGTGCATTAACACACATGCAGGAATATACTCATACACATAAAATGAAAATAAATAAAATATTTTTAATTTTAGCTGGGTGTGGTGACACAAGCCTTTAGTCCCAGCACTCGGGAGGCAGAAGCAGGCGGATCTCAGTGAGTTCAAGGCCAGCCTGGTCTACACAGTGAGTTCCAGGACAGCTGGGGCTACAGGGAGACCCTGTCTCAAAAAGACCAAATATATATTTTTTTTTAAAAAAAGAAAAATGTTGTTTATTCATTACATATAAGTCATCAGAAATACTGTAAACCAAATCCAAAACCTTCAAAGTCAAGGCTATTTGCAATTGTAGAAAAATTCGACACTAAAATGCAGACCTTAGGTTAAAATTTACTAAATTATGGCATATTGTGTTTAGAAGATGCAAATCTGATTAGTAGCTGGTTTCCTA